CTCCTCATCAGCTGCTTCCTCTCTGGCTCATCCACAGCCCTGTCACTGCCTCTTCAAAGATAGGAAAATTTGACCTTTTCACTGATTTCTATGAATTGCATTTTGATGATGAAATGAAATCATAAATGTCATCCTGCATAGCAGACCTAATGGGGCCAAGTCAAGGGATTATATACTTAGCAGATGTAGGAAGGATCGCAGAGCTTTGCAGAATACACAAATGAAATAACAAATGCCTTTCATATAACCTAGATTATTACCTGAGTAGTTACTAGTTCTTGGGTAATATGAAGTACTTATATGACTTTCACAAAAACTTTAGGAGGTAGTTAGTATTATTTTGCACTTTAGAAATTTCCATTTTCCAGTTATAGAGAAAACTAAGTCTTAAGAGGGTTAGTATATCTAGACCCTCATGACTAGCAGATGACTGACTTAAGATTCAACCCAGTTTCCTTTGATTACAAATGCAGAACTGTTGACATTTCGATTGTGTTCTTTATGTATCATTTCACAGTTTTCATTTCTTGTTTTTTATTTTCTTTCTGTTCTTTTCCCCCCTTTATTCTCTATGTTTATTAGCTACATTGGATCTTACTCCATTTAAAAAACTATATGTGTATTTACTAGAAATATTTTGATTTAGTATTTGAATTAATTTTGCCATAGGGCAAGTACATTCACGGGAGAATGTGTATTCTCTCTCTCTCCTTTCTCTTTCTCAAGTGAGAAAGCACCCTTCAAGAAGAATGGGAATGCCTCAATCCTTTCTTCTCCATTCTCTTCTTGGGATTTTGGGCAGGTGTGAACACGTGCCCACTGTGTTTCCTAAGCCGCAGGGGCTGAGACTCAGCTACGCAGTTGGTCAAGTGAGATCCAGGCACCTTAACCATCACACCACTTGCTGGCACTGTTTGCTTTTATTATTCCTGCAATTATTTTGTAATTTTTGTTTTCTAAATTCTTTGATACCTTAATTATTTGATTTTCTTTAATAAGAAAAGTGCTTAAGGCTATACATTTACCTCTGAAAGCAACTTTGAATGAGTGGAAAGGGTCATATCAAGTGTTTGAGTTTGTTTTGCTTTATAAATAATCTGTTGTGGCAGTTTAATTTCTCTTTTGACTTCATAGTTCATTTTTTAAATGATTTTTTCTAAGTGGTTGAGTTTTGATGATCTGTATTAAACTCAGTGTCAATTCCTAGTTTTACTGCCTTGTGAGCAGGCTGATGGCCTATTGTTTTACTCTTAATTTTTTTTTTTTTCTAAGGATTGATGTGCTTGGGGAGAAAAATAGGGAGGAAGGGGAGAGTGAGAAAGCTCTCTCCATAGGGAATGGTCATGCTGCAACCCCTTCTCCTCCATCTCTCTTACTTTCAAGATTTCATGCACACATGCCTGGCATGTGTTTTCCTCTTAAATATGTAAACAATTACATCAATGTGCAGAAGTACATATAATAATGGCAATGTTGGATTGAAATGAAAGTGCTAGGAATATATGTCACTTATAAGTCACTTAGTTTAGTGTAAACTTGAAATGTTGCTTTTCCAACTAATTTTTTTATTCAAAGAGTATATATTCTCACAAAATTTTTAGATTCTCACAAAATCACCAGTTTTTTTTTTCTTTTAAATGAAAAAATGTTTCCAGAATGTTCCAGACACCGACAATTTTACCTGAGGAAAAATTCTTCTATGTATCTTTAAATGGAGCTGGAGGACTCTCTAACAAATCCATCAATGTTTAAGAGTTTAGTGAGATATTAAAAAGTGTCCTATTTTAGCTGTGAATCATTTCACATTAAACTCTTCTGTGGATTTCTTGCCAAAGTTATCTTTAGTAAAAGCTATGGACTTGAAGCCAGATTTGAGTGAAGCGAATGTGAGTGAAGCTGGAAGCAGATTCCACAAGAAACCTAAATGTTGGAGAGGGAGCTTGTAGAGCATCTGAGTCTTGGGTCTGTCAGAACCCTCTTAGTCAGCTCTAGCCACATACTTAGGCCACAACCCTTAGGGGACTCACCCAGAACTACTTAGGAACCAGGGACTTGGGTGAGTGAAATCTCTCTCTTGGTCATTCTGGCTTTCTCTATCAATTCTTGGCATCTATGCTGAGTTTATGCTTTCAAATGAGAAACGGTGAAAGACACCAGGAAATGACTTGCATTTGACTAGGAGATGATGTTTACATGTTAGTTTTTTCTTTCCTTTCAGACTTACTGAGGTAGACTGAGCTCATTTGGTTTCAGAGAAGTTAGTTTCCATAGATTCACTGAAAAGTTGTGATTGCCTAGAGGTGACCAGAGGATAGAAAATAACCTCTGGGAGGTAAGATGGTGCAGAAATACCAAAGGAAATGCTCAAGGAAATAGTTCCCTGTCTATTTTGGGGTCTTTAATTTAACCGTTAACAGTTTGATAACTGTCCCTGCCTGTGGAGTGCTCTCCAGACAGAAATAAAAATCTATTGGGGGAACCAGCAGTTAGCATAATGGCTATGTCGCTGGACTCCCACGTAGTCGACTGCGGTTCGTGTCCCAGACCCGGTGGCTTAAAACTCACGCTGGGCGCGTGTGCGTGCGTGCCCAAGATCCCGAGAGGAGAATGGAGGAGAAGGGATTGCGGCGTGGTCATCCCCCCTGGGGGGTGATTTCTCGCTTTCTGTCTCTATGTCTCTGTCTGTCTGGCGAGCGCACGCGCCCTATAGTGAAAATCTCTCCAAAAAAAAAAAAAATCTATTGGGGGAAAATATGTGGAAAAAGTCCTTTTTTCCTTTTAAAATATTCATAGATAAAGGGGAAAGTGTATACAGACAGTGAGTGGGATGTCCTTGTGGGTGGATGTAAGGCTGCTGTTGGATTTGCTGCTTAGCAGAGTATACAGAATGCACAACACAGGTATTCAGGTGAAAACAACTGTGAGTAACTTCGTTCATTTAGTAAATGCATTTGTTTGCTAGGGCTGCCATAACAAAGTAGCACAGACTGACTGGCTTAAACAAAAATTATTTTCTCATAGTTCTGGAGGCCAGAAGTCTGGGATTACACTGTCAGCAGGGTTGGTTCTACTAAAGTCTATGGAGGGAAGACTGTGACTTGACATTACTTATTGCCCCTGTGATAAGGTATTCCTAAGTTTAAGAGGAAACATTGGTTTAAATTCGCGAAGTGGTCGGGACCAGCAGATGGCATAATGGCTACGTTGCTGGATTCCCATGTAGTCAACTGTGATTTGAGTCCTGGACCTGGTGGCTTAAACTCATGCCAGGTGCGTGTGCATGTGGGTGTGCTCAAGATCCCAAGAGGAGAATGGAGGAGAAGGGATTGCGGCATGGCCATCCTCCCGTATTTTTTTCACCCCTTAGCAAAAACCCCTCTCTTAAAAAAAAAAAAAAAAAAAAAAAAAAAAGACTAAATTAGTGAAGTGGTTATTATAGAATGGTATTCACTTTGCTCGGTTCTGTTCTTATATGACATTTAGAAGTAGAAGATGGTTAACAGAACATTGCTACATTGCTGTAGAAGTGTCTTGACAAGTTCTAAACTATGATCTGGATAAGAATATTTGCGACTGGCACAGTATTTATACACAAATGGCACCTGCCAAATTTGTTTCTAGGGGATTTTGTTACAGTTTTGTCTTAAATAGACTGTAAAGAAATCCCCTAAAATCTTTCATTGTAAATTTATCAGAAATCTTTGCATTCTTGTGGATGAAATAGGAGTCTTTCGGTGACTCAGGTTTCTCAAAATGATGCTTGAAATCCCTTCCACAGAGAATTAAGCTTTTAAAAAACAATTTTAGCATATATTTATTATTTACATTTAATCACTATACATCTTAACAGTGTACAACCATATTATACACTGTAATTCCCAGCACGAATATAGTGCATATCAGTTATGACAAAAACATTACCAATTTACATTATAATCAGCTAATAACTTCATTTTTGTGTCAAGTAAATGTATTGTTTGTTTTTGTCCCTATTCCCCTCTTT